GAGGAGGCAGGGAGAACTGGGGTTCAGGGCTTCCCATAGGCCAGATTATCTCTTCTGGGGTTCTGGGGTTAGTGGATTTTGTGGACCCCCAGGCTCTGGGGTGTGGCCAAAATGAGGGGTTGAGGGTGCAGGATCTACACAGGAGATGGGTGCAGGAAGGGGTGGGGGTGCAAAGTCTGGGTGGGAGGTAGTGTGCAAGAGCAGGCTGGGGATAGGGTCTGTGGCCAGAGGGGAGGAGGCAGGAGTGGGCTGTGAGTTGGGTGTCTGGCTCAGGGGGAGGGTGCAGGAGCCGTTGGGAGTATGGGATGAGGCGCAGGGTCAAAGGGAAAGGATGAGGGAAAGGGGGACACTAACCTGCCTTGGCGCCCCACTGCCGTTCCCAGGCACCATGTTAATATGGCCTCCTGCTGCTCCCATTGGCTGGATTCTGGCCAATAGGAGCAGTGGGGAAAGCCTCCAGGTAGCGCATTCAGGGACGGGGAGCAGCAGTGTGTGGAGCTGCTTCTTCCCCGTGAGCCGGATCTCACAGTCAGGCTCCAGGCTTTCTCCCCTCACCCCGCAGCAAGAAGCCAACCACGTGGGTGGGGAGGGGTTATAAGGCTGATGCATGGTCTCCCCGCTGCAGGGGGAACAATGGAGGTTTGAGCTCGAGCCATGGACCACTGCAAGGAAAGCGTCCACTGGTCTCTATGTTTAGAACATCAGACCCGTTCCAGGGTGGATTGTGATGTGACGGAGGAGCAGGTAATAAGCTGTAGAGCCTGGGACGTGTAGCTCACCAGAAGGACTGCTTGGTCGGCCAGTCCAGACCAAAATCATTCTTTACTCACAGCCAGAGTCACATGGTTTCTGGTGTCTAGAATGGGACCAGCGCCAGTGTGGCTGGAACTTCCTCAGTCCCTTGAGGCAACAGTAGCTTCCATTCTCAGTGTCTTCTGGTCTTCGTAATGGGCAGAAGAGGAAAGAGAAAACTCCTTTTCCCTATCACTTCCCCATCAGCTTCTCTCACACACTCCACCTCCACCACTCTCCACCAATGCCCCCATTTTAACTCTGATCCCTTTGCAGGGCAGGAAGTGGGGAAGCCGGACTCATAACCATATGGTACCTGCAACTCCTCTAGCACCATATGGTACCGGCAGCTCCACTCCCCTGTATCGAGCTCATAGTGAGAAAAGGCTTGATCCCGGCTGGCATCAGCTGATGCCCTCATTGAGATTATCTGCCCAGAGGTGAGTAGAGATACCTGTGCTACTTTTACCTTGGCTAAAAGAACCATCGTAGGCAGGGTCCCTGGCTCACTTGTGAAGCTCACCTATTTGGAGTCATGCCAGCAGGGGTAAAGCCCAGGTGGGTATGTCTACTCGGGGGGCAGCATGGACATACCCCTCTTTCTTTTACTCTGCTTCTTCAGCTGGCAGAATTGCTAACGCTTGCCCCTGCCCCCTATACGTGTGTGCACACGTGATCGCCCTATGCCGTGACATCTCTTGGCATCCGTGTGTATGTTAGGCACAAGTTCTAACGCTGTGTGATGGGGTGGACTAAGCCTCGACGCCCCCCACAGGAGGCTGGAGGCCTTGCTATGCCCTGACCCAGCGAGAGGAGCAGAAGAGAGGTCCTCCAGGCAAGATAGAGTGGCTGCTTCCATGTTGGCCAATCAGGGCCCAGCAGACCAGTATAAAAGAAACTGCTGGTAGTTCCTCACAGGAGCTCAACCCAGACAGACCTATGCACTGACTGGGAGAATAGCAGCACCACGGACAGCTCCGAGTGTAAGTTGAACTTTAGACCTGGGTGAGGCCCAGGTTCAGTGGCTATAGACTCGCCACAATCTGATGATAATTGATAGCAATCTGGACAGGGTCTATCGCGAACCCAGCCTCAGAACCTGAGGTGACCAGATGGAGCAGCATCCTGGGGAAGTGGCCCAGGGAACAATGACGTGGCAGATGGTGAAGACTCATAGCAGGCACCTGCTACTTACAAGGTCCCTGGGCTGGGACCCAGAGGAGTGGGCAGGCCTGGGTCCCTCCCAGCAGGCGCAGCAAGGGGGCAAGAAGAAGCCTGGTCCCAAGCCACATACTGACATTTCCTCTGCCACAAATGGCCAGGCAGAGAGCTTACTGGACTCCCTTTGGCCACAGAGGGGCACTCACAACCGGGTGGGCCCCGTTACACCGTGAGTGCATGTACTATACAATTTAACAGCCACATTGAGTTCTTGAGTGTTTGCAGCAGAGGGCCAACCCTAGCATTCCGATCATCTTTCTACTACAGGAGGATGGCAGTTGTTTTGTTTCTACCAAGGATTGTGTGCTCTTCAGAATTTTCTAAATATTTTTTTTCTAACTGTGTGGGCAGGAATAACTCTGAAATGCAGCCAACAAGCAGGCGAAAAACCAGCTCCGGCAGTAATTGTACAAAGATAAAATAATGGAAATGCAAGGGAAAGCCACATTCTGCAGGCACGTCTTGTGCGAAGCGAAAGGGGGAGGGATGTATGCTCAAGAGTCCACCCGCTTGTCTTTCAGATTAGCTAACCAAGTGTTCCACTTCCCACCACAGTCGGTCTGTCCGTCCGGCGGGGCTGGCAGCTGACAAGTACGACCTGAACTAATTTTGACAAGTCAGCGCTGCCGTTGGCAGTGATTCCTTTGGAGCTCTTGCAGGAGTTTGTCACGCTGGTGTCTGCGTATGCTGCAGACAGTGCCCTAAGGTCAGAGATTGGGCAAGCCATTTGCAAACATTACAAGAATGAGAGTCAACTGCTGTTCCTGCCATCATCATCTTCAGATCCTAAGTGTGCCTTTGAGCTGACATGCTCCACCACGGCCTCATTGGTCATTTTCTCTTGTAAGGATTCTTATGTACTTACTTGACTTGGTCGTTTTGTCCCTAACCGTTTTGGTTTCGGATTCACAGACTTTGGCAATGCGTTAAAATTCATGCATGTACCCTACGTCTAGTCTGAATAACATTTGGCAGCCCGCATTCTGTCCATAAATTTCACATTCTGACAAGGGCTTGACCCTGGTAGACACGTTGCTTGGAATGCAAGAGATGTCTTTATCACACTCTATTCTTGAAATCCTCCACCTGGGCTAATTATATCTGCACAGGTCACCACCTCACTGATGTATACTGATCTGCACATTTAGTGGAATCTTCTTTGTAATGAAGGGAGGGGGAGGAATAGTGCTTTTCAGCTTTAACATCATCTCTCCAGGTAGAAGATTTGTGAAGCATCTGAAACAAGCTGACACTGTCAGAAAAACTCCCAATACAGCAGACTTCCGATAATCCAGAACCTATGGGACCTAGGTGGTGCCGGGTTATCAGATATGCCGGACTATCAGGAGGTACTATAAGCTGATTTTATATATATATATATATACTGTATACATTATATACTGTATATAAAGTGTTCTAAACCCTTTTTATTGTACATACTGTATACAGTATACTGTAATGTTTTAGTTTTAAGCCTTTTTTACCCTTTTTGCTCAGTTCAGCTACTGCTGCTGTTACCTTGTGGCTCATTTTTTGCTGAAGCTCACTTACTAGGCTCTTGCTATTTTGATGCCGGACTATCAGGAGTGCTGGACTATTGGATGCCGGACTATTGGAGTTTTACTGTATTAGGAAATTAACTAAAGCCTGCTTCTACGCAGTGTGTATGTGTCTTGGCTAAAGTTAGAGTGAAATGGTTAGTTCCTTTGATGAAGTCTGGAATCCCTATTTACACTGATGTTATCAGGCTAAATGTTGTAGGAGTTGACTTCAATCTCTGTGTTCCCCCTGCTAAGTTCTGCAAAAGAAAGCCCTATAACATTCTTGTACATTTAATGAAGCTTCGGCTAGTGCTGAACAGTGCAAGACTGCTAGAGACACTACAGGAAATTTAAATCTTAATTGTTTAGTCTGCAAAAGAGAAGAGTGAGGGGGGATTTGATAGCAGCCTTCAACCTTCTGAAGGGGGGTTCCAAAGTGGATGGAGAGAGGCTGTTCTCAGTGGTGATGGATGCAGAACAAGGAGCAATGGTCTCAAGTTACAGTGGGGGAGGGCTAGGTTGGAGATTAGGAAAAACTATTTCACTAGGAGGGTGGGGCAGCACTGGGATGGGTTCCCTAGGGAGGTGGTAGAATCCCCATCCCTAGAGGTGTTTGTCTCAGCTTGACAAAGCCCTGGATGGGCTGATTGAGTTGGGATTGGTCCTGCCTTGGGCAGGGGGCTGGACTTGATGACCTCCTGAGGTCTCTTCCAGCTCTGTGATTCTATGATGGCACGGCCTGGGATGGAGGTGAAGGTGGAGGGAGCTACCCTGGACGAACCTCCAGAATGAAAAGACTTTGGGCCAAACACTGCTTGCCTGGCTTGTACATGGTCTTGCCTGCTACCATGTATGGCCTTTCCTTCATACCACAGTGTTTGACCCTGCACCACACCATGTCCAGGAAGAGCAGCAACCTGAGTTGTGTTTGCAGGTGCGAGAGGAGGGATCCCTCTGCACGATGTAACGTGGCCCACAGCAACCTCCGGGGGGCCGATTCCTTCCACCGGTGTTACACTGGCATGGAACACCATTGACTTCAGAGGCATTGCTCCCCATTCACACCAGTGGCATTCCATGCCGATGGTATCCAATGGGTGTGGGGTTAGGCGCAGGTGTCGGACTGAGTTTATTAGAGAGACGGCATTTACCAATAAAGTGTCCTCTTGCTCTTTTTTTTTTTTAAACAAAAAACAACTAATAGGCATTGATTCCTATGGAATCCCAACCTTGTGATGGCTCTGTACGCTACTGTCTGTTTCATTTTGGTTTAAATCTGTTTTTATTACGGTAATGCTGTCAGAAGATATGTTATCTGCACCGCGATGCCTACTGTTCAATGTATAGGTTATCTCCAGTGTGACAGCTCTGTATCTTCAGTGTCAGATACACTGCGCTCAAGTCATAGTAGATTTACAGATTCTATTATACTTCTATTGAACAGCTCTTAATCTGGTCAGAGAGGAGTCTGCTATGAGCAGCACATTTTATCCCTTGCTTTTAGTACTGGAGCCTTTTTGGCAAGGTGGGACAATTGCATTAGAAATATTCCAAGATGAAACCAGTGTCTAATATTTGAAATTGGAACTCTGTAAATGCTGGAAATTTCTCTTCACCCACCAAAGTTTGGATCTGAATAAAAAGCTAGCGATTGAATTAATTGCAGAGCTTTATACGTTTAACGTCTACGTTCTAAGGCATTGGTCTTTATGCTGTGTTCTCTTAATGTAACATACATATCGTGCCCACCTCCATTGAAAAACGAGTCTCAAATCTAACGAAGAAGCTGTCTACAGACCGTTTTTCATTGTTTTGGCAGCTTTGCTCCCTGACAGTCATGTTTCTGCATTTAAGTTTATATGCATGAATGAGTGTAGCTATTCTGCGCGTGGAAAATATGACATTTGCTTTGCTTTGATTTTTCTCGGCTAAGCAGGCAGAGTTCCTGCTTTATTCTCTGTGGAATGCCTCTTTTGTGTTCAGGACAATGCACAATGTCAGTGAATTTCCATTGCCTGTGAAGAATTGGAGTGTCGAATTGTCATGTATGGCACCTAATTATCATTAGTCCTGTTTGTTATGTAGTGTGCTTGGTTGCAAGTTCCCAGTAAGAAATTGGAACATACCAACTATGGCAAGAATGTGGTTCTATGAATATGATTTTTTTTTTTTTTTGCTACTACTCAGATTTTTTCCCACCAGCTGCTTTGACCTTGTACCTCCCGTCAGAGTCACACTTCTTGCTGCCTCTTTTCAATTGATCCCTGCGGTTAGTGCTTTGAATGCCATTGACTTTACACTGTGGCTATTCCTACAGCTCAGCAGTTCCACCTTGTTGCAGCTGCTGTAGTCCTCTCTCCTCTTGCCTTTGTAAAAAAGAAAAGAAGAGAAGCATGGAAATCCATCATGGGGAAGTATACAAATGGATTTCATTCTGTTTGAAGCAGGGGAGGCAGGCAGTGGGGGAAATGAAGTGACACTTCTCTGTGTGGAGATGTAGGTCATGAAAATGTATAATCAGCTTACATTTGTGTCCACACGTTGCCGGAAAGTAATCCTGCTTAGCATCACTTTATGGGGTTTTTTCTGCATCTTACATCCCTTATGATATTTAAATACAGCATTGTGATCACTGATTTGCTTAATGCATGCTGAAAGGACATGATCTATATTTAGTAGGAATGTGTTTGTGTGGGGGTTTGACCAGCAAAATAGTTTTCCTTTCCACACTAAGGGCTACGTTCTTTTTTCAGAGCCACAAGGCAGCTCTTGCATCTGAAGGCGTTCTCTCTCTCGGAGATCCATATGCATAGCAAGAAAAGGCAGTTGGGATACTGATCTACCATGCAGTACCCAGAAGGGAAATTTTGTGCTAAAGTTCGGGAACCAGCATGCCTGTCCCTGTTTCACAGCTAACAAGAAGCTTTTGAGCCTGGGTGGAGGAGGCAGCTGTCTGTCCCAGCTTGTAATTTGACTGAACAATGGGCCCAGACTGCAGTCTGACCATATTGCCAACTCTAATGGTTCAAATCTCACCAGCCAGGCTCAGCAAAAATCAAGAGATTGGCTTTAAACTCACGAGATGAGAGAATCCTTAGCACAGACTCGGCGTTCTCTTTCATTGTCTTCTGCTTTTTGAGCCTGCAGGTTGTGCTGCGGTCACATTCTGAAGTGTTGCTCGCAGCCACGAGGGCTAGAAACGGAGCTTTTCTTTAAGGGTGAGGGCTGAAATCATCACGTAGCCAACTGACTCCAGGAGCCGGGGCTTTCTGGAAGACCCTGTATCCCGAGACTTTGGACAAAATCATGGGAGTAGGGAACATCGGCTTTGGGATTTCCAAGCACCTTCTAAGAGCAGTGCCGAGAACTGCTTGTGCACTGCAAACGGCTAGTTTTTGTGAGGCCTGCAAACCCAGGAACTGTGCTCCATGCTCGTGGGTGTAATCGACTGGCAACTTAACTAGTTCCATACATAGGCTGACACGGCAGGGTCTCATGACAGTAACCAGAGTGACTGCAAGGGTTGGGATTTTGGCACTGTGCTTTGTAGGGTTAGAAGCTGACGATGAAGGCTGGGCTTAAATAAGAACATAAGAATGGCCATACTACTTCAAGGCTTGGGATTTTGGCACCGTGCTTTGTAGGGCTAGAAGCTGACGATGAAGGCTGGGTTTAAATAAGAACATAAGAATGGCCATACTGGGTCAGACTAAAGGTCCATCCAGCTCAGTATCCTGTCTGCCGACAGTGGCCAATGCCAGTTGACCTAGAGGGAGTGAACTGAACAGGTACCAATCAAGCGATCTCTCTTCTGCCATCCATCTCCAGCCTCTGACAAACAGAGGTAGGAACATCATTCCTTACCCATCCTGGCTAACAGCCATTAATAGACTTAACCTCCATGAATTTATCTAGCTCTTTTTAAAACCCTGTTATAGTCCTAGCCTTCGCAACCTCCTCAGGCAAGGAGTTCCAGAGGTTGACTGTGTGCTATGTGAAGAACTTCAATTTATTTGTTTTAAACCTGCTGCCTATTAATTTCATTTGGTGGCCCCTAGTTCTTATATTATGGGAGCAAGTAAATAACTTTTCCTTGTTCACTTTCTCCACACCACTCATGATTTTACATACCTCTGTCAAATCTGAGCTTCATTCAAGCAGAAGGGAATGTCTGGGTTCCTCTCGATCCCACGATGCATTACTTCCTGTCTCTGTGATGGAATACAAATAATTCTCCTCAGATCACTTCCCTGTTTTTGTTAAGCTCCTTCCCCAAGCCCACTGACAAGGGAGGCAAAGGGGACAGTTGCCTCAGGGCCCAATGCTTCAAAGGGACCCGGGGCTCCTGGCCACTGCTGCTGCAGCATCAAAACCTTGGTGCGGTGAGCTCCGTGTGACTCAGAGGGCTGGGGGGGACAACGTGAAGATTTGGCTGTCCCTGGCTCCTCCCCTTCTGCACAAGGCCCCACCCCTCTCAGGAACATCCCTAGAGGTTTTTAAGTCTCAGCTTGACAAAGCCCTGACTGGGATGATTGAGTTGGGGTTGGTCCTGCTTTGGGGAGGGGGCTGGACTCGTTGACCTCCGGAGGTCTCTGCCAGCCCTAGGATTCTATGAAGCTGGGTCTCCCTCACATTGCCCAACGGCCTGAAAAAGCTGTCGGCTGCCCCGTCCTTCCCCTACCTTACTCCACCAGCAACAGTGGGATGTATTGGACATGCCTATCTCTAATCTCAGTTTTGGCTTCGTTTTTACTTCCTAGGGCAGTATTTCTTAAACTGTGTTCCTTGGCACACTGGTGTGCCGCGAGGCACTCAGAGGTGTGCCACAGAGAAGAACAGAGTTCAAAATGGCCACCCTTAAAGGGGCAGCTGATTTTTTTTTTTTTGCTCAATAACTTTCCTCCAATCCTTTTTTTTCTCAATAACCCCCCCCCCCCCGACCCTTTTTCCCCCTGACCTTTTTTTTCCCCTCAACAAAAAATCCTTGGTGTTCTTTTTAAAAAAAAAAAAAAAAAAGATTTGGTTTTCTCAGTCTTAAAACATTTAAGAGACACTGGTGTAAGAGATTCAGATCCTCACGTTTTAATAAACCATGTTCATTGGAAACTGTGTGCCATGAGCCTGCCAAAACTCCTTACATCTTAAACCACAAGACAGAGTGGCTGTTCTCTCCAGTGACACAGGGGGTGTCTACTCTGGGTTGGGAAAGACTTGTAGTACTTAGTCTGAGACCCACATCAACTGCCCCGGGGTCCTGCTATGGAGCTAAAAATAGCAGTGTAGACATTTGGGTTTAGATTGGAAAGCAGGCTGGTTAAGCAAGGAAAACTGGCAGGCAACATTCTCTCTCATATTTCCATCCACGTGCAAAATATTTTTATGTGCACTGAGGCATGTGTGAATGTGCACCACCAGTAGAAAGAAAAAACCTAGCAGTGGGTGCTCTGCTAGTCAGCTGGGTGGCATCAGAATCTCTCCTGAGAAGCCACACAAGTGCACAGGTCACAGGGAACACTGCTGGTAGGTCTTATGCCCTGTCCATATCACCTGAATTCAAAGGTAATACATACATTTCAGCAAGGAAATAACCCCATTGATTAACTGAACGATGCATGCTTCAAAGTTCAGCATGTTCTCAAGTGCTCAGCGGTATGAGAGTCGTCATTAGAGCGGGCCAACATTTCTCATTCAAAACTTTTTTTGTTGAAAGACACAGATTTAGTGACACCAGATAGTCCAGTGAATTCATGATTGATTGTGTTCAGGGCAGCAGGGAATTCTGGAATCAGAATGTTTTGTTTCAACCTCTTTGCAACAAAATGTTTATTTTTCAATTTTGAAATGACTTCATATCGACGTTTCCTTCCATTTTATTTTTTTAATGCTCGGTTAAAACTGAAATAATTTTTTGATTGGGGGTCCAATGACTGATTTCTTTTTACTTGAAATCTCTTTGACTTTTTAGTTTAAAATAAAATGTTGGGTTTGAGTGGACCGGAAATAATCTTTTTCAGAATTGCCCATTTAATTTAACAATCGGTTATTTCCAGCTGTGTTATCACTGTTCTTAACATCCAGAATGGCATGTGTTTGCAAAACTATCTAAAAATGGCAAGGATATCCCTAGTTCTAGTTCAGGAGCACTAATTTCAGATGCACAGCATACCATCAAAATTAGAATCTGATCCATAAAATGGTGGTATTATGCATACATATTAAAAGTCCTTCCCACCGCCTTGAGAAATCATTATTGCAACAACACTCATTCTGTTGTTGATAAATGAAAATGATTGAAGGAGAAAATACCAGCTGATATTTAAATTACTACTTATTATCGAATCAGAGTTTCTTAAATAAAATCGCTGAACTAAGTGGCATTCTATTTGTTGAGTATCCAGATCAGAATTCAATAAAAAGGTAAACAATACTCCTGTGACTTCAGAAACCAGCCTACATATTAATTTCATGAAGAACTATTATGGTATATTGCAGTTCTGTAACCATAAATTGATCTGTTGCAGAATTGAAAAAAGATTATTCGTGTAAGCCAAATCCTGTAATTAATCAGAAAATATCACTACATTTCCACTGCTCGCTGTGATTCAGGGGTTCTTTGGTTTCTGAAAGTTTTTTTTTTTTGGGGGGGGGGTATTGAACTACAGAAGCTTGCATTTCTTCCTTTTAACAGTCATCATTAGGCAAGCTGATATTGTGAGTTCTGAATGAATTGAAAGTTCTCTCTTGCTGCCGTAAGATTCTAATGGCTGCCTCCTCTTTGAGCTGAGAACTATTTAGTGAGGTAACTCATGACACCAGGATAAGCACCCTGTAGGCTATGGTGACGCTATTACTGTGCAGAATATTTAGCCCACTGAATGCATGGGGACTCAGTAAGCTTCCTTACTGGACTGATTCAATACAGGGCAGCAGTGCCTAACGAACAATGAGACTCTGAGGGTGTGTCTACACAGCACAGTTATTTCAAAATAACGGCCGTTATTCCAAAATAACAATGTGAGCGTCTACACAACAATTCCATTATTTCAAAATAATTTCGAAGTAGTGGACAGCTTATTTCGAAATCGGTAAACCTCATTCCATGAGGATTAACGTTGAGTCCTAAACAGCTCCACTGCTGCTATTCCGAAATAGCTCCTCCCCGAAACAGCTCCACTACTGCTATTCCGAAATAGCTCCTCCCCAAGGCTATTCAAAGTAATTATCCCCCAGTGCCTCCTGGGGCTCTAATTCGAGGTAGCACGGGAAGCCGGCCTCGGACTAATTTTGAGGCTTCCCTGTAGTGTAGATGAGCTATTTTGAAATATGCTATTTCGGAAAAAAATTGTGAAATAATAGCTTACTTTGAAATAAGTGTGCAGTGTAGACGTACCCTGACGAAAGGACAGTTGATGCTTAGGATCCGATCCTGAAAATCCTTGCTCATGGAAGTAGTCCTCCAGATTTCAGTGGGATTACTTCCAGGAAACTGTTCGTATCCCTGGCCTTCAATCCTTTGTTGTGATACAGGCAATTGGATTTAGGCATCCATTCAGTCAAAGCCTTATTTAAGTCTATCCCAGCGTGTCTGGGGCCTTGTCTATTAACACTGTTATTTGAATATGGTAAGGAGAATCATCAAGGCAGAAATTCAAATGGCATTGTAGGGTAAATTGAGGCAGTCCATGGTATCTTGCTGAGAACTGACAACTCAAATCTGAAATTATTAGGCTAGGCCTGGGCAGCGCACAGACAGCAGTTACTGTGACCCTGGTTCCCCTGGCAACTACAGTCCAAAGGGCCTCACTCTGATAAGGCAGTTTTCTCACAGTCTCCTGTGACTTCAGATTAATGAGCTTGGATCCCAAGGGCTGTGCCAACACAAGGAAGGAGTCATCTCGCAGTAGACGCCACAATTTCAGCAGCATAAATTAACATCAACATGTCCATTTTGGGGCTTCCATCCTGTTTATGTTGGCTCATTTAGCTTGTTAGGAATAACTACCTTAATTAGTGATAACATGTTTCATTGGCAATGGGCGGAGATACTGAGTAACTCTCTAGTTCATTGGCTTATGTGCATATCTCAGTTCCATTGCTAGACCTATCAAATCACTTCTCCTCCATCCTTCTGATACCTATGTAATCTAATGTATGTTTTGGTTAAGTTAGTGCTCACCAGGCTAACCACCTGATGGGTACTCCACCAGGTGTGAGAACCAATAAATCCTCTGCTTGTTTTCATCTTCACCGAGTGTTTCCGGACTCATTCCTACATGCATTGTTCCTAGTTATACCTGCGGCTGTTAAAAATATGTCCCAAGTTCCGTTTTGGAAGGGAATTAGGCACCAAAGTCACTTTGGCAATTGTGAAATTTGTGCCCAGTCATGGTTTTAAAGAGAACTCACCGGTGGATTTGGTCTGCACTATATATTGCTGCAAGTTGTTTACATCCCAGTTTCTGCATTACATCTTTTGTTCTAGTTTAGCTGAACAATACATTTTTCATTTGCCATGTTTGTTGGAAGATCGCCTTACTTTTGAAAGCAGAGCAGATACAACCCTTTATTTAAAATGTACTCTGCACCTATGAGTGACTGTCGCATTAATTATTAGTATCCATTACATTTTCATACTATGTTATTTATTTATTCTTGTTTGTGTTCTGTAGGTAAGTGCTACTTCTTGCCTATAAATTAATGATAGCTGATTAATCAAATGGAAAAATGTAGCAAAAATGAATTTGTAGCTAATGCTCCTTGCTCTGTGGTATTTCTGAGATGCTTTGACCTCTAATATAGCCATGGTTTTATGATACCCCAGTATTCAGGAGGCTATCAGTAACGTGGTTAGGCTTTATAGGACACACATCTTTAATGTTTAAAGAAAATGTGTAACAATGTGATCAGGATGAGAACTTTTGTGCTAATGAAATTACAGCTAGTAAAATAGCTGTTTGCAAAACATCCTCTGTGATCGCAGTAATTGTTTCAGCACCTCTCAAGAGCAGGTCTTACATTTTGCAGAACAGGGGAGACGTTCAGGGTTAAAGGATGCAAGTTAGCTGCAGGAACCACTGGCTCCCACTCCTGGAAGTCAAGTATCAAAGGGGTCACCGTGTTAGTCTGGATCTGCAAAAGCGACGCGGAGTCCTGCGGCACCTTATAGACTAATAGATGTATTGGAGCATAAGCTTTTGTGGGCAAAGACCCACTTCATCAGATGCACGTAGTGGAAATTCCAGAGGCAGGTATAAATATGCAGGCAAGAATAAGGCTACAGATAACGAGGTTAATTCAGTCAGAGAGGATGAGGCCCACTTCTAGCAGCTGACGTGGAGGTGTGAACACCAAGAGAGGAGAAACTACTTGGCGCCATCTAGACTGGCAAGTTTTCCACAAAAGCAAGTGCTTTTGCGCAAAAACTTGCCAGCTGTCTACACTGGCTGCTTGATTTTGCGCAAAAGCACTGACGTTCTACTGTCCGAAATCAGTGCTTCTTGCGCAAATGCTTTGACGTTCCCATTCGGGCAAAAGCCCTTTTCCGGAAATGTGTTTGCGCAAGAGGGCCAGGGTAGACAGCTAAAAACTGTTTTGCGCAAAAAAGCCCCGATGGCGAAAATAGCGATCGGGGCTTTCTTGCGCAAAACCGCGTCTAGATTGGCACGGACGCTTTTCCACAAAAAGTGCTTTTGCGGAAAAGTGTCCATGCCAATCTAGACGCTCTTTTCCGCAAATGCTTTTAATGGAAAAACTTTTCCGTTAAAATCATTTGCAGAAAATCATGCCAGTCTAGATGTAGTCCTTTTGTAGTTGGCTAGCCATTCACAGTCTTTGTTTAATCCTAAAACAATGGTGTCAAATTTGCAGATGAGCTGTAGCTCAGCTGTTTCTCTTTGAAGTCTGGTCTTGAAGTTTTTTTGCTGCAGGATGGCTACCTTTAGATCTGCAATTGTGTGTCCAGGGAGATTGAAGTGATCCCCTACAGGTTTTTGTGTGTTGCCATTCCTACTATCTGATTTGTGTCCATTGATTCTTTTACGTAGGGACTGTCCAGTTTGGCCGATGTATATAGCAGACGGACATTGGTGGTACATGATGGCGTATATTACATTGGTAGATGTGCAGGTGAATGAACCCGTGATGGTATGGCTGGTGTGGGAAAGGGTTTGGATCTGTGATGGTGTCACTGGTGTATGTATGTGGGCAGAGTTGGCACTGAGGTTTTTTGCAGGGATTGGTTCCTGAGTTAGAGTTACTGTGGTGCGGTGTACAGTTGCTGGTGAGAATTTGAAAGCAAACTGGACAGTCCCTATGTAAAAAGCTGGGAATGAGCAACAGGGGTGGGATCACATGAGGATTCCCTGTTCTGTTCACTCCCTCTGGGGCACCTGGCATTGGCCACTGTTGGAAGACAAGATCCTGGGCTAGATGGACCATGTTTGTTCAGTCCTCGCTCCCTTCTGAGAGCAGATCCTCACTCTGCTGAGAGTCCTTGCTAAGGCTTCAGAAAGGAGATAATGGAAAGGTTACAGTGGGGATAGCTGGTTCCTACCTTTTACCTCTGCTAGAGGACGACGCTCGGACATAGAGGTTCCTTGCTGTGTGTGTGCGGGCGAAAGATCACACACACACGTGCATGTACGCACGCACACACACAGATGTTAGAATTCTATTTCAAGTGCGGGTTGTCTGCTTCAGGAAGGAAGAGCATATGTGTTAGTG